TCTAGGGCTAGCCCCTCCCCGCAGCCCTTCGCGCGCCCGGCTTTGCCCCATGGCCTGGCCTCTTGGCGGCCACCCCTTGGGCTTTCCCTCGGCCGGCGCCGCGGGGCTCCCGGGGCCAGTCCTTCGCCAGTGAGGAGGAGGAGGAGGAGCCGCCGCCGGCGCTGGTGTTGGTGCTGCCGCCGCCGCCTGTGCCGGTGCGCCCTTCCCTGCGTCTCCGTGCCGCGCCGGGGGCTCCGCGCTCTGAGCCGCCCGGCAGGATGCTGCCGTCGCAGGAGGCCTCCAAGCTGTACCATGACAACTATATGCGGAACTCGCGGGCCATCGGCGTGCTCTGGGCCATCTTCACCATCTGCTTCGCCATCATCAACGTGGTGGTCTTCATCCAGCCCTACTGGATCGGCGACAGCGTCAGCACGCCCAAGCCGGGCTACTTCGGCCTCTTCCAGTACTGCACGGGCGACGACGGCAACAACCGGGAGATCAAATGCCAGGGCTCCTTCTCCGAGTTCGGCAACATCCCCTCGGGAGCCTTCAAGGCGGCCTCTTTCTTCGTGCTGCTCTCCATGGTGCTGATCTTGGGCTGCATCACTTGCTTTTCCCTCTTCTTCTTCTGCAACACGGCCACGGTCTACAAGATCTGCGCCTGGATGCAGCTTCTGGCAGGTAGGACACACACGCCCCCCCCCAAAAAAAACCACCCTCTCCCTAATCACTCCAGCTACCAAGAAAACCCTGACATCCCCTCCCCAAACTAAAGCGGGGAGGGAAACCCAAATCAAGCTGGAAGAAGAAGGGAGGGAGCAGAAAGAGCTGAATAAGGACAGCTCCGCGGGACTGAACTGTGAACTGGTTTGGATAACCACAAGAAGTTTGGATGAATGGGTTACTTTTCTAAATGGGACAGACTGCGTTTACGGGGACAATTTGGTCTATATGGGGAGGGAAAGGGAAACATAGACAGTGAATGATACTAGCTTGGAGCATATGATTATGTGTATTCTCCGATGTAACAAGAGAACTGGAAGATTTTAACTCTCTCCTAGATTCAGGGTCATGTACATGGTGTTCTTCTGGATATTAGGTAGGGACAGGTGAATGAACCCCTTAAAGTAACAGCTGCATGGGACTGGTAACTGGATTACCTCCTCTAGGTGAGGCAGGGCCAGATATTTGCAAAACTCAAGGAGCAACAGCTTTCCCTGGAATGGGAGTTTTAAGTATTAAGGAATTGCTTTGCTATCTTGTGGGATGCTTTTGCTTCTGTAGAGAGCGAGATGAGATATTGTTCTCCTTGGTGGTGCCCCTACCTGCATCACAATGTGTGTTTTGTTTTAATTTCGTGTGGGATTGGGACCGGGAGGATGGACAAACTATCACATCCATTCCTTTCAGCCAGTGCTCAGGCAAATCACTGAGACCTGAAGCCGAAATAGAAAGAACTGAAGCTGAACAAGAAAATGGCTACATCTTTACTCTGAAATGTTTTGAAAGTGTAATGATTTAAAAATGAGCTCTCAGTGGAAATCTGTCATCACAGGCAGGCAGCCATGTAATCTTGAGAGGACACTAGACAAACTTCTTACTGCCTCTGTGATCCTGTCCAAGGTGCTGAAAGGACCCACAGAGGACACCCTGGGGTACGGTGGTTGGTTGCGATCGCCTAGGAAGGCTGTGAAGCAGAATCGGTCTGACTGCCAGACTTTGAGTCATCTCGAAAAGACAGGGAAAGACTTTCCTGGTCTTAGGCTACATTCAAAAGACCTGGAGTCAGGTCTAAAGGAAAATGGAATGGCTCCAGGGCTAGGTAAGGAAAACTGCTGTCCTCAGCTAAGAATGAATCTCAGTGGGTGTATGATGAAAATGGGGGCAAGAAGAGTGTGTTCCCTTAAGAATTGGGTGGGAAGACTGTCCCCTTTCAAGGGAGCCCAATGAAGTCCCTAAGGCTTGCCTCTCACTTCCTTCCGCTCCCTCTGACTTGCCCCCATTTATCACTTAGTCGTGAATTCTAAGCAGGGCTCAGGCCTGGCTTCTGGGCCTAGCCTAGGGAAGAAGGACCTGAATCTGAAATGAGCCAAGCTACCTAGCTCAGCATGGAGGGAGGGGATGGTGAGTGAATATCTGATAAGTAGGAAACAGGCTGCCTAAAAAGAGGCTTGGAGAAGAGGTTGGGGGTAGGGGTTTGGGTTTACAGCTTGGTGAAATCTGGGGGAATGGGGCTCTGGTGGTCAGGGTCCTGGTTTCAAGAGAAGGGGGGTGTTTTCTCAAGCCTGCCCACCCAAACACCCCAGTAGTTCATCTAAGCTATGAAGGAGTTGTGGACAGGCACGAGTTCGTTCCGGACCCATTTGTGTAAGACATTTATTTTACCACCTTTCCACATACAAAAAAAATTTAACCACTTCTCAGGATGGCTATCCTTAGGTCCGTTTGGACACACCTGGAGAAGCAGGAGATCAGCATCTTTCCCCATTTCCCCCCTGCCTCCTGCCATATATAGGGGGAAATGATTGAAGGCATTACATCTGAAGGTAGATACTGAATAACTATACTGCTTTTATGAGCAGAGGGGAGATCCAAGGCTCTGCCACACTAGCCCTTTCCATCCTTATTTCTCCATGAACTTGGAATAAACTTTGCGACACTTCCGGGCAGCAGCACTCCTCTTGCAGTTTCTGTGCACCCTTCCTAAGGTGATCGTACCTGGAGTGAGGAGGGGATTGGCCTGGCAGTGTGGCTGGAGGTCCTAGAGGAGAGAGACGTCCCGACACAGTGCTTTCCACATAATGATGCTGTTTTGGTGTGCCTTTGATGGGTTGGAAGGAGACAATATTGAAGGTAGAGCCCAAAGAGTGGCTTCCAGACCTGGGCATTCTGTCCTGAAACAGCTCGTGGCATAGCAAACAGCATATAGATTCCTTGTAGATTTCTTCCAGAATCTGCTCACAGACTAGAGGTATCCATCAGCACAGTGGCAAATGGTCCCGGGATAAAATGCAGTTGCGGAAAACGACTGATTCATCTACCTGTGAATGAGCAGGGCAGGGTCAAAAAAGGCTGGGATTTGGGAAGGGTATAGATCAGAGAACCACAGGAAGGTGTCAGGCTGGCATCCCAGAAGTGCTGATAACGGCTCCTTTTTAGCCCATTAGCTGTCTCCTTCTAACCAATTAGGAGATTAATGAGGCAATTCCAGTAAATAAAACAGTTTCACAATGAGATAATATTTTTTCCTGGATATTTAATGAAGGTAGAAGTTCCTCTTGGAAGCGAACTCATTTAATTTTGGGAGGAGGGGGGAGGGAAATGCCTTCTCTCAAGTGCATTACCTGGACTGGGGGATTCTCCCACAGATGGTTTGCAATAATGCCAGTGGTGCCGAACAGTCATTTTGCAAAGCTCTGTTTTATTTTCAAGGAATTAGTCAACTAATCACACTGATTTAACTAGTTAATCAGTTAATCAGCCAGATAATTATAAGGGAAACACAGCCTGGGAATACTGAGGGCTGAGAATCTGTATAGCCTTTGTAGCATATGCATAAATAAAGAAAAGGCAGGGTGAGAACAAGATGTTATGACTGTGGAGTTGGCAGCAGAACATAGAAATATTGATACGCATGAAGTCAAGACTGGGATGGATCAAAGTAATGCAGGGTGGAGACAAAATGTTCACTCTTTGTGTGTGTGTGTGATGTGCCATCAAGTTGCCTTCAACCTATTGTGACCCTATGAATTAATGGCCTCCAAAATGTCCTATCCTTAACAGCCTTGTTCAGTTCTTGCAAACTGAGGTCTGTGGCTTCCTTACTGGGAATATCTATCTCATCTTGGGTCTTTCTCTTTTCTTGCTGCCTTCAACTTTTCCTAGCATGATTTTCTTTTCCAGGGAGACTTGTCTTCTCATGATGTGACCAAAGTATGATAGCCTCAAGTTTAGTCATTTTAGCTTCTTGGGAGAATTCAGGCTTGAATTGATCTGGAACCCACTTATTTGTACTTTTGGTGGTCTGTGGTAGCTGTAAAACTCTCCTCCAACAACACATTTCAAATGAATCAATTTTCTTTTGTCAGCTTTCTTCATTGTCCAACTTTCACATCCGCATATAGTGATGGAGAATACCATGCTATGAATTATCTTGTCAATTACCTTGATCTTGGTCTCCAGTGATGCTTCCACACACTTCAGGATCTTTCCTAGTCCCTTCATGGCTGTCCTTCCCAGTTCCAGTCTGATTTCTTGGTCACAGCCTCCCTTTTGGTTGATTAATGCTTTTCATACCTTGTAGTCAACTTTCATATTCCAACATAACTCAGACATTACCGTCCTGGCACAAGGCATGGAAATTAGCTGGTTTTTCATAAAGTGGCTCAGTTACCATTCTCAAAATGGGGCTACATCCGAATCCCTCCACATTTTAAACAAGATGCAAAAGAGGGATGCAGAAGCCAAGTTGAAGCGATGGGGACTGGACTCTGGTCACTTTTGTTTCAGTCCCAAAACAGCCCTCTTAAAAAAAACCCCAACTAATCAGGGATTCAAATGAACTTTAAATGAACTTTTTAAAAAGAATTCTGAGACCAGTGTTTAAGATTCCATAAAATTTGCAGGAATGTTTTACTTATTTAGTAAAGAAAGACAGAAATAGCGTATCTTGACAAAGTAACAAAATGCACGACACTGTATACAAACTACAAACTTTCGGAATGTGTTCTACATGCAGTATCAAAATGAGAGTACAAGTGATATAGCATATAAATTACAAGTGCTATATATTTGCATGTGCATATTTTACAAGCTACTGTTTTCGCATCTGTTTGTACAACCGTAGTAATATCACAGCTCTTTCTACATACACATACAGTTGTTTTTCACATAAACAGATGTTTATGCATACACAACAGGAAGCCAGTAATCATCCCTGTTTCAATGGCTTTCTTCATCGGTTGAATGCAAAAAAGCAGAGATTGATGAATTTCCTATATGGCTGTCACAAAACATAACTTAAACTACTCTTTACATGAACAGTTATGAACCAGAGCAACCTCTGCTTAGAGAGGCAGCTGCATGAAACTGTTTATTTGGTATATTTTTATCCTTCTCTTCTTCCAAGGCATCTTGGGGTGACATACATGGTTCTGCCCTCCCCCGGTTTATCCTCACAACAACCTTATGAGGTAGGTTTATTTATTTACTTAATCAAATGTGTACCCCACCACTCCCTGAACAAGCGAGGCTCAGGATAGCTTACAACAAGTAAAATACCATATACAATATCAAAACCAGTAGGAATAATAAATTAAAAGCAACAATATAAAAGTCCTATTTTTATTTTTATTTTTTTAATAGCAGCATCCAACAAGCCAACAGTAAAACGATCCGGTCTAAACAATAGTTGTAGGACATGCTCAATAACTAATTAAGAGCCTGCTGGTAGAGCTCTGTCTGGCAAGCTCTGCGGGCTCACAAGGTCCCACAGGGCATGCATATCCTCTGATAGAGCATTCCACCTTGATGGCGCCACCCCAGTGAAGGCCCTTGCTCTGGTGGAAGAAAGGCAAGCCACTCGAAGGCCGGGTGCCACCAAAAGATTGCATGATGAGGAATGCAGGCAACGAAGGGGATCGTAGTGGGAGATACAGTCCTTCAGGCATGATGGCCCCAGA